TCCCAACACCTCCTCCTCTCAATCTGCTCCCTCTTCTCCCTCTAACCACTCATCATCATCCCAACACCACTCCCCGGGCTCTGAGGCTTCTTCCCTTGAGGTTCCCCAGTTGGTGCCTCCTACCAGTCCTCTGCATCCAGCCAGTCCATGGCAGGCAACCTTCCAAGGGTTTGAACTTGGCCTCCAGCAATTGCAGTTCTCGCTTTCCTTCTCTGCAGAGCACTGCTAGCAGCTATTAGCCCCTACTTTCGGGACGTTTTCATCAATACCTGGAAAGAATCTGGTGGGAAAGAAGTTCTGCTTCAGGAGGTGTCTCCATTCGTCGTCGAAAACATTCTGAAATATATCTACACAGAGGACATAACACTCACCCCTGAGCTGGCACCGCACCTCTTTGCTGGGGCCAACCGCTTACAGATCATACCGCTGCAGAACCTCTGCTGTAGGTAAGTCACTGCATCTTTCTTCTCTATGACTGTGCATGCAGTTCCACAATTTGACAGGTGCAGTGTACATCACACCATGAGCATGCAAATTCCAACTTGGATGGCTTTAAAAGAGATACATTTGTGGAGGATCAGGCTATCCTGATGGTTATGTTCTACTTCCACTATTGGAAGCAGCATACTTCTGTATGCCAGAGTGCTCTTCCCCTCAAGTCCTGCTTATCTGCTGCCCATGGACATCTGGTCGCCCACTGTGAAAACAGGAGGGTGGCCTAGAGGGACCATTGGTCTGATCCAGCAGGACTCTTCTTATGCTTGTAGTGCATAATATCTTATCAGGATTCTTTTAGCCCAGGAATGGAGAACCTGTAGTGCTACTGGACCACCAGACCCCACCATTCCCATCAATGGTCAAGGATGATGGGAACTGGAGTCCAGCATCATTTGAAACAAGGTCCTTCAACCTTGGAGCTTCAGAACTACAACTCCCAACATCCCTGACCATTGACTATGCTGGCTGGGGATGATGGAAGTTGTAGTTCAAAAAACATGTAGGGACTCAAGGCTGAAAAATAAAGTAAGGTCACAAGTTAGTCACACCTACTTTAACTAAATTTGGAATGAGGAGTGAGGGATAATGAAGAACTGCTGCAAAGAGACAGCTTCGAAATCCACTGTTGCTGTCTCATGGAACGTTGAATATGGACACAAATGGAGAATCTAAAAATGTCTACAAAATTCTGGGGTTTTTTTATGGTTATAAGAGTTATATCCACAGAGAAATCCAAAGGAGTCTCCAGCCAGTTTTTGCTGCAATTTAGAGAGTCTTTGTCAAGGCCCTTGGACTGTGGATACAACTGTGGGATTGCTTCATCCAACACAGCTTCCCAGTATTTCTTACATGGCCGAAGGATCTTCAGGACTGATGTAAAATCATGAGACAGCGGGTTGCCATATTAGCATGCATTTTCCCATAAGCAAATTCCTGCTGGATCATCCAGTCCACCCGGCTCTCAGAGTGGACATCCACATGTCTAGATAGGAAACTCACAAGCAGAACATGGGTTCAAGAGCATTCTTCCCAGTTGTGATTCCCAGAAGCTGGAATTCAGAGGCATACTGGCTCCAACAGGGGAGGTAGAACAACAGAACCATCATGGAGGGTAGCCATTGGTAGCCTTATGAATTTGACTAATCCTCTTTCAAAGCCTTCAAATTGGGTGGCCATTTGGCGGTCCTGAGGCTAACCACCATGCAGATTCCTCTGTGCCACAGGCCTTCCTGTTCCTTCTTTCACCTTCCAGGTTCCTCGGGAAAAATCTCTCTGTGCAGAACTGCTTTGAGATGTATTCTTTGGCAAGGATGCATAAGAGTCCTGCCCTCCTCCATGCGGTCATACGCTTCCTCACCAGAAAATTCAGCCAGGTCTGCGAACATGAGAGTTTCCACCAGCTGGACCTCAGCACACTCATCACCCTGATATCCTCCAGCAACCTTGAAGTGGCTTCAGAGATCAAGGTCTATAGGGCTGTGCGACTCTGGGTGCAAGGGCAATCCAGCAAGCATGGCCCTTTGCTAGGAGACCTGATGCGCCATGTCCGCTTCCCACTCTTCAGTCCGGAGGAGCAAGTCGAACTACAGAGGGACTTGGAGAAGTGGAAGGACCTCAGGCTCGAGTGGAAGGTGCTGGATGGCGAGGAGAGGTTTCGTCACATCAAGGGCCTCCGGCAGGGCATGTACAAGCCGCACATCCTGTGCATCGACACCCAAATGTGCGAGTACCAGGAGTTGGAGAGTGAAGAGGCCCACATGGGCTGCTATGACCCACAGACCGAACTGTGGGAGAAGCTTCCCGGCCTGCAGTGCTTGACGCATGCGTGTTGCGCCACAGCTGGTGAGAAGATCTATGTCTCTGGAGGCATCTGTAAGAACTCTTACTCCACCGCTGTCTATGAGTTCAGCTCTTTCAGAAGCCAGTGGCTGCAGCTCGCACCCATGACTGTGCCCAGGGCTGCACATGGCTTCCTGTTCCACAACCAGAAGCTCTACGCCATGGGGGGATGGTGTCAGTTCCAAAGCTTCCTCAACTTGGCTGAGGCTTTTGACCTCGCGACAGGGACGTGGGCTACGATTGCAAAGCTCCCGTTTGCCCTGAGCCACCCAGCCTCAAGCGTCTTCCAGAACAAGCTGTACCTCCTTGGCGGTGCCACGGGAGTTTCTGGCCAGTGGCTGTTCCACAAAGGCTTCCTGATCTACGAGACCAGCTCCAACACATGGACTCAGGTGCCTCTGTCCACGGGTTTCTTTGCTGCAGGAGCTGTGGCTGGGGACAGGGGGATCTATGTGATCGGGGGATACATCGAGAAGAAAATGCGGGACTGGGTTGAAGGGCTCCTCATCCCCGAGAACCGCCACAGCTCTCGCAAGTGCTTCTTGGTCAACGAGACTGGCAAAATTAGTGGCAACATTGGTATGCCCAAACTGCCGCGTGGGGTTGCCAACGCAGGGGTAGTCTCCTGCGGGAAGCGGATCTACGTGTTGGGTGGGGAAGACTTAACCCAGCGCTACAAGATGATTTACTACTGGGAGCCTGGAGAACCCCGCTGGCACCGGTGCACAACAGAGATCCCTACCACCCGTGAGGGCATCAGCAGTTTTGGATGTGTGACCATGATGAGGCCCATCCCACACATCCGCCAGCTTTTCCAGGTCACTGCCCTTGTCATTGTGTCTGCGGCCAGCAAATAGCCATCCCCCTGGTGGTCCTGAATGAACTTTCAAGTTAGCAGAAACCGGGCAGACACATGCAAATAAATCATAGCAAAATGATGGATAGTCACCTACTGACTTGCTGCGAGACTTGGTCTGCAATGCTGTGAACAGCAGAACGCTTCTTATTGTTATCAATATAATTAATATTATTTTCTATTAGTCATGTCCATTGCTTTCAGAGTAAGACCTAGTTTTCTTTTCTTTTTCCAGCTCTCCAATATTCTTTTTAAGGTGAGGTGATCAGAAGTGTGCACCGTATTCCTAGTGTGGTTGCACCATAGATTCATGTAGCAGTGTTATGACATTGACAGCTGTCAGGATGCTGTCAGTGGCTCCCGGCTGGTTGCCCAGGAAAGCATAAAGACAAGGAAACTTTTCTTACCGTCCTTTTTTATTTCAATATTACAGAGAGAGGCTATAGAACCCAGCCTCTTTGATAATGGCGTCCCAAGTGAATCTCCAGCCCCTGTCTCTCCCACTTCCTCGTTCATCATCATCATCATCATCATCATCATCTCTACGGGTGCTGCTATTTGCCCTCTGTCTTTGAACTCTTTGCTCTCCTACTTTTAAGGCTTGCCAGGTTCTGGGAGATGGCAAGTCCGGAATGCTTTCTAATGACAATGTGTCAGCTGGGTATTGCTCTGGCTCTCTCATTATTTCCCAGCTTTTCCCCTCATCTGCCTTTGGGCTGTTACTTACTGTATTTTTCGCTCTATAAGACGCACCAGACCGTAAGACGCACCTAGTTTTTGGAGGAGGAAAACAAGAAAAAAAATATTCTGAATTCCAGAAGCCAGAACAGCTTCTTGCTGTTCTGGCTTCAGCGAAAGCAACACAAAGCCTCTTCAGGGCAGCAGGAGGAACACTCCCCCTGCCCTGAAGAGGCTTCATGCGGCTATTCCAGAAGACAGAACAGCAAGAGGGATCGCTGCACTTGGTGCTACCTTGATACAGCTGCATGCATCCATCACTGGGCTCCATGCTTCTCCATGCAAACCAGGATATGACCTCTCCACACAATGGAATGACTCTTCTTATCTCTGTGGCTGCAATCTCCTGGGTAACACAGGTGCTGTTAAGCAGTTGAATACTCCATCCAGTTCCCTCCCTTCCATTCCCCCCTTCAAGTAACCCTGGGCTCTGGCAACCTATGCTACACCACTGCGTTCCTCAGAGAGAAACAGGTTCCGAGATTCTAGAAACAAGCGGTTTTGTGTCAGTGTAGCTCAGAAGCCCCAGTTCTGAACATAGTTATCTACAGGATATTTGAGAGAGGAGGGTGAGGGAGAAGTAGCTCCTCATAAGGCTTGCCCCCCATTCTTAATGTTTTTTCTCTCCTTCAGAAGTGTAACATGTGGAACAAAGCCTGTTTCCTCATCAGAATATGCCCCACTATTTATTTATTTTTCTCCTGGCCTGAATGTACAGTACTGGATGTGTTTGTAAGGGTGTGTGAAAGGTCATGGATTTCAGCTCTGGGTAGCAAAGCACAGACAGGTTTGCAAATCCATGAGCACGTGTCTGCGTGTGACAAATTCCAGAGTGGCATCTGAGTTGGCTGCAATAGAGTGCAACTGATTGCTTTGAAGTCATTTCAGCGCCGGGGGGCAGGGGCAATTGCCACCCCACCCAGCCCACAACCCAGCCCACCATCCTATACTGTATTTTGCCTGAACAAAGGTGGCAACCCTACCCCTGGGTTTGAGGTTCCCCGGCCCTCTCTTACACCACTTAGATGGGAAATTATACAAATTACAAATAAAAAACTGAACACAAGTGGGTAGGTAATGACTAGTCCTTCTGTTCTATACCTCTCGAGAGTTAAGTGCCTTCAGTTTTCTCAGGCAGATCATTGCTGTAGAAACCACTTTGCAAGCTGTCTGTGAGCCTCACATCCACTAAGGGTTCACCACCTCTATGGCTGTCAGTGCAACCGACGTCTTTCGGAAAAGCTCTAGAATGGGCTTTTTGGGGACCTTCATGGTGGTGCAGCCAAAGCCGCTGAGTCCCCAGCTGGTGAATGGCAGCCTCTCCTGGCACTGGACCCACTTTGTGGCTCCGAGTTCCCAGTAGTAAACAGTGTTATAATATTCCTCTTCGTTCTCTCCTTCCAGGTTGTTATACATGTAGGTGTTCTCCCCACCCAGCACGTAAATGCGGTGCTTCCAGCGCACCACACCGGCCCCCGCCAGCTCTATGGGCAGCCTGGGGATAGTGACTCTCCTGTCCACCTGGCCATCTTCCCCCAGAAAGAAGCACTTCCGGGTGCAGCGCAGGTTCCCTGTTTCCGACCAGCGCTCGTTGTGCCTCGTCCGGCTCCGGAAGTAGCCCCCGATCACATAGATCCCGTTGTTCATGGCCACAGCACCAGACCAGTAGCACTCATTGTCCAGGTACACTTGACTCCACGTGTCAAAGCTCACTTCGTAGATCAGGACCTTCCGGGAAGCGTACCACGAGCCGACGGTGTCTGTGACGCCGCCGACCAGGTAGAGCTTGTTCCTGAGCGCCGCCGAGGCAAAGTGGCTGAGCGCAAAGGGCATCCTTTTAATTGGGGCCCAGAACTTTCTCTCCAAGTCGAAGCACTCCGCTGTGTCGAGGTAGTCCTCGTACTTGCACCAGCCACCCATGGCGAACAGCTGCTGGTTGCAGGCGAGGAAGCCGTGGGAGGCCCTGGCCACAGACATGGAAGGGAGCTGAGTCCAGCGACCCCTCAAGGGGCTGTACTCATGCATCGTGTCTGAATAAGAGTCATCCGTGTGGACCCCTCCGGTGACGTACAGCTTGTCCCCGACGGCCACACAGCGGGCGCAATACAGGCATTTCAACAGGGGCATCTTTTCCCACGTTTCAGCCTGGGGGTCAAAGCAGCCGACCTGGAAGTCCTTGGTCTTCAGTTCTGGGCCTTCCATGTTGAAGAGGTCCACGCAGATGATGCAGGTGGAGTACATCCCTCTTCGCAGGCCTCCGCTGCGCTGCAGCCTCTCCTGGCGGTTGAAGCGCTTCCACCGCAGGCGGACGTCCCTGTAGCACATCAGCTCGGACTGGACCACCCTCAGCTCCTCCTGGGTCAAGAGCGGGAGGCGCACATGCGTCAGGAGCTGCCCCAGGAATGGCAGGCGGCTGGCGCTCTGGGCCATCACCCAGCGCCACACGGCCCGGTAGACGGTGAGTTCGGAAGAGACCACCAGACTGTCCAGGGAGATGATGCTAATGAGGGTGCTGGGGTTCAAGTTGGGGAAGGTCTTGTCCTCGATGGAGAGGCGCTTGAAGTGCAGGTTGACCAGGATCTTGGCTTCTTGGAGGAGATCAGGGTCGCTGTGTGCGAAGCCCAGTTGGTAGAGCGAAAGGCAGTTTTCTGGGGAGATGTGTTCCAAGAGGTATCTGGGGCAGACAGATGGGAAGGTAAAAAGGTAAAGGATCCCTGGATGGTTAGGTCCAGTCAAAGGCAACTATGGGGTTCATCTCGCTTTCAGGCCGAGGGAGCCGGTGTTTATCCACACACAGCCTTCTGGGTCATGTGGCCAGCATGACTAAACCGCTTCTGGCAGAACAGGACACCGTAACAGAAACCAGAGCACATGGAAATGCCATTTACCTTCCCACCACAGTGCTACCTATTTATCTACTTGCACTGGTATGCTTTCGAACTGGTAAGTTGACAGGAGCTGGGACAGAGCAATAGGAGCTCACTCCGTCGTGGGGATTCAAACCACCAACCTTCTGATTGGCAAGCCCAAGAGGCTCAGTGGTTTAGACCACAGCTAACAAAGGACACACCGCTGCAGAAGATGAGCTAGACAAGATACGTATCGCCACATCTGCATAATATTATTTAAAGCAGCATCGGGAGAATTTAAACAGTTTCTCCAAAAAGAACCTAGGAAGTGCAGTTTGTTAAGGGTGCTGAGAGTTGTTGGGAGACCCAACTGATGGAATATGCTGAATTAGCAAGTCTAAGTAGTAAAATTAGAGATCAAGATGAGACTGTTTCTCGGCAGGATTGGAAAATGTTTGTAGATTACTTTTTAAAAATCATTGTCAACATGTTGAAACACAAGCAGGTTTATAGTAAGAACAGCAGTAAAATACATATCTGAGAATACTGTGGAGGAGGTAATGTATAGAATAATTATAATATACAGCAACATTAGAATAATTGGGGAAACCATGGAGGGCTGGAAGGGAATTCGAATACTAATTGAATGTTAATTTGAAAAAGTTGTACAATTTATTTTTGTTTTTTTGTTTTTGAAAAATCTATAAATAAAATGTATTTAAAAACTGAGAGAGTTGTTAAGAGAGTATTATTCCCCTCCCAGAGCGATAATTCCTAGAGTTTCCTGGGAAGAGAAGTTGACTTTTAAACCACTCTGTGCCTGTAATCAGAATATAATTGCAAAATCCAAGTGTGCAGGCTGAATAATATGAATGCAACTCTTTGGCACACTACATCTTATCTGGAATTGTGCATGAGCCCTGCAGATGGCACTCCTGATTCATGGGGGAGAAATTACTTTGGTTCATGCTTTAAAGTCAATCTACCTAATCTACACTTCTTGAATCTAAAGGCAAAGTGAAAACATAGCCATTTTTCAACAATTGTGTGAAGCAGTTCTCCCGTCAAAAGGGGGCATCTACATTATTGCTTGCAAAAGAAAAGGAAAAAAATGCATACAGAATTGTGTACCAAAATGCATACCTAGGAGAAAGGCATTAAAAAAGGTCTGCCAATTTTCCCGCAAGCTTATAAAAGGAAATTTTGATACAGAAATGGGGCAAACTGACAGTTGGAAAACTAAGAAACTGAGAAAATGGACATATTTATCTATCCCTATTGCTTCAGCATGTGATGGAAATGCACTTGACTGGAGAAGGGAATGTCTTTCCTAATATTCCACTTCCCCAGAATCTGCAATAGCTTGAACGTACAGGCAACAACTGATTTATGTGAGTCCAATTGATGCACGACCATGCAAGCATGTATCGCGGCAACCCGGAAGCAGCCAGAAAAGAGGGTGGAACAGGAGGCAGAAGAGGGTGGGGCATGGGCATAACAGGGAGGAGTGGGCTTATGCATGCTCCACCATCATGCGCAATAACCGGGAATGCAACTACCATGCAAATCAGGGGTTGACTGTAGTTACAGAAGAGGCAGAAAGGCCTTATTTCAAAGGGGTCCTCCTTTCACATCAATTAGAGGCAGAGAAGATGGAGATACACTTTCCGTGCAATCTGCTCCTGTTTACTGTTCTGATCGGCTTGTACTACTGACCAACCCATGCTGTTAACTTGGCTGGTTCATAAAGATGTCATGTCACTGGCTTAGGTAAAGGTAAAGGGGACCCCTGACCATTAGGTCCAGTCATGGACAACTCTGGTGTTGCAGTGTTCATCTCGCTTTACTGGCCGAGGGAGCCGGTGTACAGCTTCTGGGTCATGTGGCCAGCATGACTAAGCCGCTTCTGGCAAACCAGAGCAGCGCACAAAAACGCCGTTTACCTTCCTGCTGGAGCGGTACCTATTTATCTACTTCCACTGGCATTCTTTTGAACTGCTAGGTTGGCAGGAGCAGGGACCGAGCAACAGGAGCTCACCCCGTCGTGGAGATTCAAACCGCCAACCTTCTGATCGGCAAGCCCTAGGCTCTGTGGTTTAACCCACAGCGCCACCCGCATCCTGCCACCTGCCACTGGCTTAGCTGACATGTAATGGACAACATGGCAATAATTGTACGGCAAATGTGTTGTGCCTTGTCTGATTAATTGGGTGAGTGTGAGGTGGCATAAAAGCTGAAAAGACCCTGTGTTTGTTACAGTTCCCATCCCTTTATGGAACCATCCTTTACTGCAGTACAACCAATGAAGATGGGTATCGTCTTGCTTGAACATTGGTTGCCTTTTTACTTAATAAATTCCCTACGTGAGAACAAACGGAGAGAGTTGCATAGGTCACTCCCTGGACAAGCGATACAAAACAAGATGGGCATTTCCCACTAAGGGGATCATTGCCCAGGGCTGGAGGATTTGTTTTGCAAGTGAAAGATCCCAGATTCAATCCCCAGCATCTTCAGGTAGGGCTGGGAGAGACTTCTGCCTGAAACCCAGGAGAGCAATCACTGCCATTCACTGTTCACAGTACAAAGCTAGACGGCCAATGATTTGATTCACTGTAAAGCAGCTTCCTGATTAAGCCAGCCCTTTGTTCACAAATGGGAGGACTAGAATCTTGCTTCATATTTAGGGACGGACCATAGCTCAGAGCATCAAGTCCAAGGTTTGATCCCAGAATCTCCAGATAAGGTCAGAAGAAACCTCACTCTGTAAACGCTCGAGAGCTGCTGCCAGCCAGTGGAGACAATACTGAGATAGATGGAACAATGGTCTAACTTGGTATAAGGCAGTAAAGAGGATTCCAATGTTCAAAGACGCGGCATTATTTAGGGATTACCTGGAGCAACTCTCGAGCAGCGGAAGGATTTGAAGCCTGCTGGCTGCTACAAACAGGTCTTGAGCCATCTCCGGCACGAGCGCAATCTCCTCCGTGTAGTAATAGTTCACCACAGCTTGGACAATGGAGGGCTCCATGTCTTGCAGCAGAACCTCTCCATCCTTTGACTCCCGGAAGGAGCTGGAGAACATGGCTCGGAAGTAGGGGTTGATGGCAGCAAGGAGCATCCTAAACAACAGGGAGGGAGGGATGTATCAACATTAGGAGGTCAGGGTATCAATCTCTAATTCAGCATTCCTTAGCTACCTTGAACCATGTGGAATCTCTGTCAGCAGACTTGGGCTACCTCACTGCTCAACCCTAACTCCAAACCATTTATGAGCGAGTTTAAAAGCATTGACTCACAGTGTAGACAACCCTGATCTAGATAAACCAAAGGTCTGACTTTGTATAAGGCAGTTTCTAATGTTCCTGTGTCTACCAGCTTCCATATTTTGTTTCTAATTATTGCAGCCTCTTGTAGCCTGAAAAAAAAAAGAATGATGACCCCACTTCTGACCATTGTTTGATTCTATAGGAGTTCCCCTAAACTGGGGATGGGGAGGCCTAAGAACCTCCAGATGTTGGTGGACTACAGGTCCCATAATTTATTTTGTTTGATATTTCATAAAACGTATATGCCCACTTGGTTGTAGGAAAAACCTGATAGTGATTATGGCTGATGGGAACTGGAGTCCAGCACCCTAACCACCCCATACCTCATGAGTACATGGATGCTGTTTCAACCATGGTAGAGAAGGACCCAATGCGAGTAGATCTAGGAAGTACTCTGGCACAAGAATTTCCAGGATTATGCTGGAAAGAGCTATATAGCAAAGAATGTCAACAGGGCATTCCATGTGAGTTGCCCTAAACCAGGGATGTCAAGTCCCAAGGACCTTCCGATGTTGCTACAACTACAACTCCTATCATGCCTGACCATGAGGCATGCTGGCTAGACCGAATTGATTTGGAGTCCAACAAGATCTGGAGGGCACCAGATTGGGGAAAGCTTCGAATCCAGAAATGGTGAACCAGTGGACCACCAGATCTCATTGGACTGCAAGCCCCATTCTTTTATTTCTTACCCACTGCCTTCCACCACAAGGTCCCTGGGCAGGTTACTACAATAATGCTATCAGTAGCAACTAACCCCGATGGATATATTCTTTCTCCACTGTCAGAGGAAGTATGCCTTTAAATATCATCACAAGTGGGGAGAATACTCTTGCATTCAGGTTGTGCCTGCAGGCTTCCCATTGGGACATCTGCTGGTCAGTGTGAGAACAAGACTCTAGATGAGATGGGCCAGCACATTCTTCTTATCTTCTTATGCAAACAAACTACATGTTTGTTCACTGACCTAGCAAGCATCCGTTCTTAAACCAAATCTGTTCTTTCCCTAATGAGGCCTCCCACCACCAGTACCCTTCCACCATTTGGCTTCCATTCGTATACCGAGGTAAAGTTCACAAACCAGGACACCACTTCTGGTTTTGTAGAGTTCATAAACCAAATAGTTCGTAAACAGGACTGTTCATAAACCGAGGTGCCACTGTAATTACAAGGAAGAGGAGCAGGTGGTGATGAAATCAAGTCACATGCAGAGGGAACCACATGGAGAGTGTCTTGCCCAGGGGCCCTTCTAAACCCAGAGCAGGCCCTTTGCCTGCATGGCAAATAGCAACCCCAAAATGTATAAATAAATACCTGTGACAGGGGAACCGTTCGCCTTTGGCCACGATGGTTGTGTCGCAGAGGAGCTGTTCCTGGAGAAGATGATTCAGCCCTATAGGAAGAGAGGGAATGTATATGATGAGACAGAGCAGACAGCCATCAAAAGTGAAGCCTTATTAGTGGTGCCATCAGTGGGGGCTGCCCAATTGGCCTTGACCTGTGACAGGGCCTTTTTAGTGGCAACTCCCCATTTGTGGAATGTCCTCCTCAATGAGGTACATCTCTCTCCTTCATTACTGACTCTCAGCGGGAAATTGAAAGGATTCTTTTTCACCCACTTATCTGATGGCTGAAATAAACCATTCCTGGCAACCCTGAAAGCACTGGTGGAGAGATGATTTTAACTGTTTTTAAAATAATAATAATTGATTTTTTAAAAATATGTTAGTATGATTACTATTATTGATTTATTATTATCAACCAGTTTTGCTTCCACTGGGAAGCCATCTCTGGTTTGTTGGCATGTCAGGGAACCAGGGCAGCTATGCAGCTTTCCGATCCTTCAGATCTGAGATGTTTCTTGGTTCTCCCAGGCATACACAACATTGCAGCTTCAATATCAGATGGGTCAGGGCAGTGGAAGTTGTTGTAGAGGCAGAGAGAAGGCTGGGATTCACCACTGGAGAGCAGGGATGGCAGAATCCGACAAATTTAGTTTCTCTCCGCTTCTCGATTTTCCCACTCTTAAGTTCAACACTGAGCAAGCTTGCCATTTTGTTGTAAGCCTGCATTGGAATTGATCAGCATTTTCTCCTAATATACACACTTTGGGGCTATTTTTGCTGCATATCTTGTGTAATATGTAAATTTTTGCAAATAATTTCTCCCAAACAGAATGCATTTTTTGGTATGTTATTAACAGTGCTTCCTTCCTGGGGGAAAGCAAAGGCACTCATATCCCTAAACATTTTGTGAATCTTCGTACTTTTGTCCATTTACTGTATTTATTTTCCCCAATTTGAACTATAAAATGGTGTTTTCTTGAGTCAAAATGAGAGTAACCCCCGAACATTTTTTTTAGGGGGGAAAAGCACTGGTTATTAATACTTATGCATGATTCGCTATGCACACTTCGCTATAGTCTACACATATTAAATGCTTTTTTCCCCTGTTGCTGGCAGAAAAATCACAACATTTGGAGAAGTGCAAACATGAAAGGACAGCTGCTCCTTGCTTTGCATACTGTTTCAGGAAGCTGCAAGTGTGGTTGCTTCACATTAACACGTGCACCAAGCTGAATTTCTGCATTAAGTAATGTGGTCCAAGAATGGAATGGATGTTCCCATTCCATTAAAAAGTTTCCACAATGTGTTTAATTGGAGAAAAATCATTATTGACATTTATGAAGGACTGGAAACTTCTTGTGGACTTTTTTGTGTGAAAGAGGAAATGAACTCGTAATATCTACATTTGAAGATTGAAAAAAATACCAGTTTATAGAAAATAGAATGGTCAGGTGTTAATGTGTGAATACTATATGTAGCTGCAGGACAGAGAACTAAAGGTCTTTTTATTTTTCTCTATTCTCCCTATTCTTTTCCCTTCCAACGTTTCTTCTTTCTACCTTTATTTCTCCCTCCCCCACACTTTTTAAAATATTCTTCCCACCTCTGTTCTTTTTCAGATGAAATATTTCAGTGTATTATAAAAGGATACTATGCAATAGATATGATTTTTTGTATATCTTTGGACACGTATCAATAAACATATTTCGAGAAAAGAAAATGAAGAAAAAGAAAAGGTTCCATTGCTATGGGCAGCATTCCTTAAAACGCAGCTACAGTAGTACCTCAGGTTACAGATGCTTCAGGTTACAGACCCAGAAATAGTACCTCAGGTTAACAACTTTGCTTCAGGATGAGAACAGAAATGGTGCAACAGTGGCACGGTGGCAGCGGGAGGCCCCATTAGCTAAAGTGGTACCTCAGGTTAAGAGCAGTTTCAGGTTAAGAACAGACCTCCAGAACGAATTAAAGTTCTTAACCCGAGGTACCACTGTACTAGGAAATAAGCCCCACTGAACACAACAAAGCTTGCTTCTGAGTGAACATGAAATAGATGGTAAAAAAATCTTGCCCAGCCATATCTCAGATATCGAGGGACCTACCCTCTCGTATGTACTGATTCAAAGACTTGTGTTCCTCTCCAACGATATCATCATCTTTGTCCCAAGGTGAATTCATCATTGCACTCCTACTTGCTCCCAGATAGCGAAGCTGTATTGCAAGTCATTCCTGCTGGTGGGGGGTGGGACACAGAATAAAGATGAGAAGAGGTCATTGGCAAGAAATCTGAATCGGAGACTCCCAGTCAAGTGTAAGATGTAGGCAAAGACACAAGTTTATCAGAAGAAGGCCACTGATGACTACTGGTCATGGTGACTACTCTCTGCTTCCATGGTTGAATGCAGTAATGCTTCTGAATGTCAGTTGCTGGAAACAATAGGAACAGGGAGCGCTGTTGTGCTCAGGTTTCCCATGGTGATTTGGTTCACCTCGGTTAAGAACAGGATGTCATTGGCCTGATCCAGTGAGCTCTTCTAAAGTTCTTCAGAATATTAGAAGATCCCTGGAAAGACTCATCTAGCATTTTGCCTCACACATTGATCAGCCCCAATCTGTTGACATGAGTCCCCTGTTTTAATCAGTATGTGTTGTGTTAGTTTCATTACATATTTTAGTTATGCACCCCAGTCCCCAAGGAGCAAGAGGCTCCAAGGGTGCCGGAGGTCTGTTTTCAGGTTTTCAGGTCCTGAAGGCCATGGCTTCAGATTCAGCACGTGAAGCCTTTGTGTCTTTCCAGATTGAGACACAACTACTGGCTCCATGGCCCTCCCCACAGGGCCTGCAATGTGCCTCCCATCCCAGTTATTCCTATCAACCCACAAGGCTAATTCCCATCTCCATAACCACACCTCTGTCCGGAAGTCCGGTGTGCAACCTGATCTTCCTTCCCCCAAGCTTTGCCCCTCCCAGCCTGAACATCACCCAGCCTCCAATTGGTCCAACTGGCAGAGGTGTCATAGTCTGTTTTGCTTATTGTGCTCTGATTTGTTATTCTCCAATTGTCTGCCTTGCATGGATGGGGAGGGGGCACACCTGGAGCCTCATTAAGGATTAGGAGAGGGGAGGTGTGGTTTCAGGAAAGGAGGGGCGGGGCTTAAATGGACCATAGAACAAGAACAAACAGCTTCAGAATGAATTCATTCAGCAACGGAGAGCATCACTGCAGACCTTCCAAGTGTCCCTATTTTCCAGGGACAGTCCCAGATTTACAGAAGCCGTCCCAGTTTCTGATTTGATCCCAGGATGTCCATCTTTTCCTTAGGATGTCCCTATTTTCATCAGAGAAATGCTGGTGGGTATAGTAGAACATCCCTATTTTCATTGGATGTTATAATGTGACCCCCCCCCTCGACCCAAGGAGATAAGTAACCTTTAGAAGACATCAGAAGGCAGCCCTGTAAGTTTTTAAATGTTTGATAAGATTGGCTGGGATATAATAATAATAATAATAATATAAAAATTATTAAGGAGTAGGACATCACTATTTTCTTTGAAGAAATGTTGGGTGGTGTGTCATTGGTTGGGCCCTGCCTCATGAGCTGTTACATTTTCATTGGGAAACCTGTGACTCCCTGGATTTTGTTTGTCTCCAGCACTCATCAGCCCCAGTACGACCGGTGGTGAGGGATCATGCAAGCTGTAGTCTAGCAACATCCAAAGGGTCACAAGTACAGTGGTACCTTGGGTTACAGATGCTTCAGGTTACAGACGCTTCAGGTTACAGACTCTGTTAAACCCAGAAATAGTACCTCAGGTAAGAACTTTGCTACAGGATGAAAACAGAAATCACGCAGCAGCAGCGCAGCAGCAGCAGGAGGCCCCATTAGCTAAAGTGGTGCTTCAGGTTAAGTACAGTCTCAGGTTAAGAACAGACCTCCAGAATGAATTAAGTTCTTAACCCAAGGTACCACTGTACCATACAGCTACTAGCCACTATGTCTCCATTCTGCCTTCATTGTCTGAAAAACAGTTGCTAGGAATCACAAGTGATGGGAGTTTCTGTTGTGCCCAAGTCCTATTGGGGGGGCTTCTTGAAACAGATATCTGGTTGGCCACTGTGAGAACAGGATGCTGGACCAGTTGAACCACTGGTTCAGGAGGGCTCTCCTTAGGTTCTCGCGGTTCATGGTGCTATTTTAATGCTATTTAGTGCTTAGGTTCATCCTTACTGTAGTGTCAAGGTTACGCAGGAGGATTTCACAACAACATAGAGTGTATCTTCTTTCGCTGCTTCCAATCCATTTCCTCATTCTCAGGCTCAAAATAGAAACAGGGGTTTCTATGAGAAACTAAGGGAAGCAGAGGGAAACCGAGAGATACATCCTTGTAGAGAAAAGGTGATTCAGATCTGCAAGGGGAGGCAAAGGGGGAATCCAGCCTTGGACAACCAAGAAAGCAAACAGTCCAGCGGTCAAATCCTGTTGGGGCCAGAATGAAGTGGGATTGTCAGCAGAGCAGCAAAATAAACATGCACCCTGGCCTGCCAAGACTTATGGTCCTGGGTGCAAATACACAATCACAAAAGGGCTTAATGCTCAATAGATGATTATTTTTTTGGAATGATCAATACAGTGGAGGCTGCTCCTTAAGAGCAAATAGGGCTGTGCCCCACCAGCCTCAGTCTGCACTCAGCAGCCCCCAGCTGTCTACCCTCTTGCTTATAATAAAAAACAGAAACCTACATGCTCTGGATAAAACACAGTGATCCGCCTTGGAACCCTTGCCCTGTATCTCTGTATCTTTGCTTTTGAAAATGTTTTTGTAGACCTGACAAGGAAATTAAAAAACATTTTCATGTATGCGACAACGGCGGCAAGTGTCTTAATAGCACAAGGATGGAAGAATGAGGAAATCCCTACTAAAGAACTGTGGCAAGAGAGATTGATGGACTATGCGGAATTGGCGAAATTGACACATAAACTACGTGACAAGGATAACTGTAACTTTAAAGAAGAATGGGAACCTTTTACAAAGTATTTAAAGAACCAACAAAATGAACTGGACTCCTTGGCAGGTTTTGAATAAACACTCACAAATTCTTTATTGGCAACATACAGATAGATAAATTGAGGATCTTTACGATTTTATAACATGCAGAGAATAACATGTGCTGAGAAACCAGAGAGAGGAGCTGAGGGAAGTCTGGGGGTGGGAGGGTGGGTTTTTATTTTTTAGGGGGGAGGGGGGAGGGGGAAATGGAGGGGGGAAATGTGGAGGATGTATTTTTGTTAAATTGTTATTTTGAAATCCCTAATAAAAAATATTTTAGAAAAGAAAATGTTTTTGTGGGTCATTGGACCGAAATAAAGAATATTGTTGTTGCATATTCAGTCCGGAGAGTTACCATGGCTGTCAGTGCTTCTTTGGGAGCTGTTGCTCCTTGTAGAACACATCAGGGAGGAGGAGGAGGAGGAGGAGGAGGACAAAATTAGAATTCATAGAACTTGTTGGAGGTTTTTAAGCAGAAGTTGGGTGGCCATCTGTCTTGGATGCTTCAGCTGAGATTCCTGCATTGCACAGGATTGGAATAGATAACCCTTGGGATTCCTTCCAACTCTATGATTCTGCCATTCTGCCTGTCATCGGCTCTGGCCATTGATGCTATAGTATAAATAATAGGTTGGTGGGGCTAATCCTGTGACCAGGAATTTAAGGTGCTGTGGATCTCCACTGGTGCTAAGCCCCCAACCCTGGCTCAGCCAACAATATGCCGATGTACGTAACTTGCTCAGCTGGCTGAGCCAAAGACAGTGTCAATTTCCAAAAAGAAATTAACAGAGGTGGGGGGTTTAGGTTTGATCTTAAGCCCATTCAGCTCAGTCATGCAACCTGGCAACACAGTGTAGAGCTGAATGACAGTGGAATGGACTCCCGTAAAAGGTGATGGATTCTCCTTCATTGGAAGTTTCTATGCAGAGTTTAGATGGACATCTGTCAGGGATTGAACCAGATGAGCCTTGGAGCCCCTTCCAACTCCACAATCCTATGATTCTATGGAAATGTCAGTAGCATGAGGGCCCACAAGACTGATTGGTTCCTCAGGCTCCTTACTAAATGGCTGTACACAACCACCTGGCTCTCCAGATCTGGGGGGACAAAACCAAACAACACAGTCCTAATGGGAGAGATGGAAAGCAGGGGCCCATTCCATCAGCACTGCTGAAAGAACAGCTCCATCGATCTTCCCCTGAAATATTTCCATAGCAGCAAGTCTAATGTGCCTGGGTAGATTTTCCTGTTTCTTTCTCTATATCCGTTCTTCGATTTCACTGCATCTTTTAGAACATAAGCCTACAGAACAGGCAGTCTCATAGGAGCCAACTTCTAGGGGCTATGAGGGCTGAGCCCCTGCAAAGTTGATGGGCATTCCCATTCAAACGGTGCATGTGCACTGCATCATGTGAGCGATTACGCAGGGCGGAGATCACCTGGCATTGAGAATCAGCTCTGTAACTGCCAGCAGTATTGGTTACCCAACTCGAAGGGAGGAATCCTAGCAATGCAGTTAGAGGTGTGGTCCCGAGGTGTATAAAAGCTTGTTGTGCATTTCTAGCTGAAGCACTGAAAGCTTGGGTGGACGACAGATAGGGACGTTGCCAGCCAAGAAGTATGGGGAAGTTTCTGAGACTGGTGAGCATTGCTTGCTTGGTAACAGGGAATAAAACAATCCTCTCCATCTGGTGCTTTAACACAAAATCCAGAGTCTGTACCCTTTCCAACTGGTATGGGTGGGAAGGTGTAATCAAAAACTTATTACCATTTCTGCAACAGGGTCCCTCCAAGTCTCTATCTCCAGCCACCCAACTAGCATGAAAAGGAAACTTTTTAGCCACTGAAGTCTTCTTGTACTTGGTGCTGATTGGAGCCAAGTATGAGTGAAAGGAGGTGAGTCAGCTGCTGAGGATTGACTCCTCGGGTCACTCTGGAGAAGGTGCACAGGAGGAACACCAAGGAGGAATTATTTTGTATGCTCCCATACTAGGCATTTAGAAACACTGGAAACACAATTTTCACAGGAAAGGTGGGCAAGCTATGTTACATACAGCAGACTTTAAGGAAAACATGATTTAAGTCTCTTTGAAAGAAGATCTCAGAGTGTCCCAAATCATGTGCCCATGTATGTGTGCAGAAGATAGTAGATCTAGCTGAAAAGCAACACATGGAGAGCCATACTGTTCTTTGTAATGCATCTCTAATTATTATTACTGTATGATTGTAAGATTATTGTATAATCTTAGGAGGAGACATGGCTTTGACTATAATGAAGGGACCTTGCGCTTCTGAATTTGCTGCCACCCTACTGTGTGGGTAAGGGACATGGGTGGCCCTGTGGGTTAAACCACAGAGCCTAGGACTTGCCGATCAGAAGGTCGGCAGTTCGAATCCCCGTGACGGGGTGAGCTCCAGTTGCTCGGTCCCTGCTCCTGCCAACCTAGCAGTTCGAAAGCACGTCAAAGAGCAAGTAGATAAATAGGTACCGCTCCGGCGGGAAGGTAAACAGTGTTTCCGTGCGCTGCTCTGGTTCGCCAGAAGCGGCTTAGTCATGCTGGCCACATGCTGTACACCGGCTCCCTTGGGCAATAAAGCGAGATGAGCGCCGCAACCCCAGAGTTGACCACGATTGGACCTAATGGTCAGGGGTCCCTTTACCTTTGACTGTGTGGGTATGTCAGAATGGTGGCTGGTTGATTCTACCCCTCTTCTTTATTAAATGCATCCTCTCTCTTTCATCCCCATAGCTTCTCCTGACTGTCCTGGTTCTCCCAGCATGTGGTAAGTGAGTGAATGTTGTCTGTCTTAGAACTTCTCCTGACAACCAGCTTCTGGAACACTCATGTGGATTTTCTTCAACAAAGTTTATGATTTAGGAGAAACTGGGACCTCTTGGAATGTTGATGCTCTGAACCCTTCCATGTAGGCTTGGGCTATATATGTGTGTATAAATAAGCCATATATCATAAAGACACCATTGTCCCCACTTTGCCTCATTTCCAAAAGGAAACACAGACCTTGCGTAAGCACACCTGGAACCCCTAGAATCTCACACTGCTCTCAAGATTGGTGTCTCGTATAACAGCATTCTGGGAACAGTAGTATAGTAGTCATTGTTATAATTGCAGTAAAGTAAAATGGGTATGTTTAACTGTTACATGCCACCCCAATCTCTGAATGGTGATGTCAGGCGTCAGGGAATCCGATCCCCCCCAAGGCAGGCCGCCAGGAATAGATAGACAAGGAAAGTTCTTACCAATGTTTTTTATTCAATATTCACAGAGAGAGGCTTAGAAATGCAGCCTCTTGGAGTAATGGCATTGTTCCGAGTAATCTCCACCCCGCTTCTCTCCTCAATCGTCAACAGCACCACCCACCTTACAGTGGCCACTTAGAGCCATTTGCCTCCAAGCCCTTTGCTCTCCTACTTTCAATGCTCGCCGGGTTCTGGGAGAAGGGGGGTCTGGAATACGTTTCTGAGCACAATTCAAAGTGTTGGTGCTGACCTTTAAAGCCCTAAATGGCCTCGGTCCAGTATACCTACAGGAGCGTCTCCACACCCAGCGTTCTGCCCGGACACTGAGATCTAGTGCTGAGGGCCTTCTGATGGTTCCCCCGCTGCGAGAAGCCAAGTTACAGGGAACCAGGCAGAGGGCCTTCTTAGTAGTGGCACCCGCCCTGTGGAACACCCTCCCACCAGATGTCAAAGAGAAAAACAATTACCAGATTTTTAGAAGACATCTGAAGGCAGCCCTGTTCATGGAAGCTTTTAATGCTTAATAGGTTATTGTATTTTAATATTGTGTTGGAAGCTGCCCAGAGTGGCTGGGAAAACCCAGCCAGATGGGCGGGGTATAAATAATGAATTATTATTATTATTATTATTATTATTATTATTATTATTATTGTTTCTAGTGATAACGTGTCAGCCAGCTGCTCCGGCTCTGCCTCCCGCTCCTCTTCTCCCATTATTTCCCAACTTTGCCCCTCATCTACCTCTGAGCTGTGACCTCCCACAAGCCACTGTTGTAAATCTATACTGTTTTCCTCTTCTCTGAAAGGTTAAGGCTGGGGAGGCAGTCTCCACCATTCCTCCTCTGCCAGTCCCTGACAGGTGAGAGACTCCAGGGGTTTATTCATTTACCCAGTGTTTGGTTTCCTTGGAATGAAGGTCAGCAGAGTCTGTGGTGTCTTTGGGATGTATGGTTTTATTTAAACATATATAACAACCTGAGCATAGGGTGGAAGGGCTCACAGCATTAACACCCCAAGGGATCTCGCTTCTCCATGAGGTTTCCTGGGGAGCCTCAAGTCCAGTTTAGGTTCAACACATTTCTCTGTGCCTACTGCTTCCAGCATCTCTTCTTTAGCTTTCACACACCACAGCTCACAAAACCAGTCCTGCTTAGGCATATTGTTCTTCACATGGGAAGAGGGCCACCCATTTCTCTCTATCGCAAAAGAGCAACTTCTTTGGATATGCTGAATCGCAGCACTTAACTAGCCAGACCAGAGCCATTATCTGGACAATGAAACTGGTTTGGCAGACTTCCTCTTATACATTCTTGGAGGGGACCCAAGATTCCATGACGTCTCCCCAAACTCATAGCAGTATAATATCCCATAAACACCCAGATGTCAGGGATGGGCGAAATGCTGGCAAGTGTGCACCGGGGGAAAGGGGGCTGGAGTCTGACTCGGGAGAGGGGAGCAGTGATTTGTGGGGACTTGTACCAGCCAGGAGGCAGGGGGAGTTTCAGAGCTGGAGGGTGAAGCACAGGATAGGTCAGAAGAGGAGGAAGAGGCAGATCAGGCAGATGAAGGGTCAGGTGCATCCTCGCCCTCTCCTGCACCACTGTCTCCTAGAACCAAGAGCAGATTGAAGAGGGAAGAGCAGAGGCAGCTTCTACGCAGTACAGTCTCTGGCTATGTGTGTACAGCCCATCAGGGGAAGATACATAAGCTGGTGGAGGGGGGCTAAACTCACATGTTACTGCAAGCACTCCGTAGAGCACAGGGAATAGCTGCCTGGGTTGGCAAACTACGGTGCACGGGACAGATCTGGCCCAATTGCGCTCAGGCTCTGGCCCACGGACGTGCCATATATTGGTGATTCTGTTTTTTAATTTTTTCCCAAATTTTTTTTTCCAACACCACCATTTTTTGGGTGCCATTTCCCCCCTCCCTCTCGCACACCACAGCGCCTCCCTCCTCCTGGCTTCTCCCCGCCCTTCTCCCTGCCTTGCGTAGTGGAGGAAGGGGGCTGGGCTGAGCTGGCTGAGTGCTGGTCCCTCTGCCCCCACTGACAGCCTCTGCCGCTTGCAAGGGCAGGCACAGGAGCCATGGTTGGCAGAGTGCAGAGCCGACAGCAACAGTGCAGGTAGGCAGGGGGAGAGAGAAGCTCCCTCTGCCTTGTGTGTGGTCCAGCCCGCTACAAGGTCTGGGGGACAGTGAACCGGCCCCCTCGCAAAAAAGTTTGGTGACCCCTGCCTTACACTAAAAACTAAAGCTGTAGAAACTACAGAAAAGTGTCCACTTTTGCAATAAAGAGTTAACCATCTGCTGTGTGCATTCCTTTGGCTGGGGATCATCTGTGAATAAAGTCAAAAGATGCTACAGGGGAGTGTTGGCCATGGCAGAGCATCTCGGAGAGAAGGGGATGGTGGCAAAATATTAACTTGTTATGCACCTACATCAGTGGTCTCTCATCTGGGAACTGACCAGACCTCAACCTGTTTGGCTTCACCAAAGTGGTGGCTTTGTGTGCCTTCACACCATACCCTGGGACCACACTTGCGTTGTCAGGCACATTTAGTGAATTCAAAGACCTTTTCATTGCTACTTATTTCCACTCAAAAAACTTCCCGTTCTCCAAAAGTGTACCCTGAGTAAAGGACCATGAATAGTTTCTCTCCATCTCATCTCAGCTTCAACTTGCACGACTCGCTGGTTCGACCGGGACGACCCTTCAGGAGTGGGTGACTTTGAAACTCTAGCTGACCTGAGGAAGGAATATCCCATGGACATTTGCCCTAAACCCACTGGAATTGAAGCTCAGACCGTGGAGGGAACCCCAGCGTCCAGCACTGGGCAGATCTTTCATCCGTGAGTGGTGCCAGAAATGAAGAACGGTGATCAGCCTTGGGAGGGGAGGGGAATTTTAACTCTTTCTCTCCTTGCCATGGACCCAAGAAAAATAGATTCTTTGAAGTTGCTCTTTGTATTTCAAAGGAAGGTTCTGCTGGATCCCAGGTTCTGCTGGATCCCAGTTTAGTGCAGATTATCTCTCTACAACTGCTTCTCTCTTTCCTGGTCACAGTTTGGTGAGTCAGAATGCTTCTCTCATTCTCTTTCTCTCCCCCCTAGGTTTAACCCTAAAGAAGGATTTGCTTGTGTAAATAAGGAGCAGAAGTATTTCTGCTTGGATTACAAAGTCCGCTTCACCTGTCCCTCAAACTTCTGCTCAGGTGAGTCAACCAGGACATCTTGTGGTGAGATGGGGGAATGATCTTCAATCACTTAAACTATGTCTGTATAACACCAAACCAATTGCTCAAAAGTGAACTGTCTTTCACTTTTATACTATATAAGAGGGGTTGCTGACATGGAACTCACAGTGTGCTCAGAAAGGGTCTCAATAAATATGCCTCCAAGAATCCACAGTGTGCAAGAGAGCTGCTTCCTCTGCCTGCTCACTTTGGCTGCATTTACACAAGAGTTTATTCTGTTTCTCTGACATTTCTGCCATTATTAATTTCCGCATTGTACTTGAACTTTCACAAGGCATAAAAACCAGAAACATAGTAGAATAAAGTGCAAGTTTAGTGCTCACCCCCCCCCAAAAAAAAAAGGCTTCTTCTGGAAGCAAATAATACAGAAATGAGCACTAAAGTGGCTTTTACATCGTATGAAACCTGAAATGCAAGGTGGAAAATAACAGGGAAACAGTCTGGAAAACGTCCATGTGATAGCAGCCTAAGTCCTGCTCAAAACAGACCCCCTTTGAAATGAATGACTATTACCTTTAGTGGATCTACTCTGAGTAGGACTGACATTGGCTACAACTCCTGTAACAGGACACCCACCATCCCACTTCTTCTGAGCTAAAGAGCGCTGCAAAGTGCTTCTCTTGGGGAGCAATCCATTTCACATCTGGAAGCTGACCCAGGGCTGTCAGTTGACTCTTGCTTTGACACTGGAGACAAGATAGCATCCCCCGGTTTGTGGTGAGGGAGAATGGCAGCATCCTTGATTAGCAGGTGCAAGATAGGCAGGGCAGGACTTAATATCCCTGTTCTTCAGCAGAGGCCAATGGTTGGATTTTGCTGCTGTTGCTTCTGCCTGGAGCAAGAGTGGCCTCACTCCGCCCAAAGGAGCCCCAGTCCTCTGTGTTTGTATGTGGAGTCACATTTTCCTCCTGATAAAATACTGCAACCTGAGTGTATGGGAGCAGGGGTGGGAAATATACCAGCCCTGCTATTTTAGGGAACTATTGCCTGTGGTTGTGGAAGAACAAGCGTGCCCAGGTTGCGCAACCAAACATTTGCTCCCGCAGTTCCTTTTTCCTTTTCCTCATGCCCTTGTAATGTGGCAAGAAAGGAGCAAACGTGACAGTCTGTGTGTAACAGGCCTCACAACGCCTCTCTGGTAACAGAGGACAACCCCCGTTTATTCCCCTGCTGAATCCCCCAGTCAAGCAGGACTGGAACCAACAGAGGAACATAAGCAGCTGACTGGTACTGAGTCAGACCCTTGGTCCATCTAACTCAATATTGTTTGCACCAGCTGCCAGCAGCTCTCCAGGGTTTCAGACAGTTTTACCTGGAGATGCTGAGGATCGAACCAGGGACCTTTTGCATGCAAGGCAGGTGCCCTGCCACTCAGCTACGCTTGCACAGCTCCTGTAAGGCTGATATCAGAAGATGGCATTCTTGGGTGCTTGCTGAAGCCCACCACACTGCAAGGGCCTCCATCTCCCTGCTGATTCCCCTCTGTGCTGCCACTGCCCGTCCAGCTGCCCTGCTTGAGCAAGGAGTGATAAGGATGGAGCTAGCAGCACAGGTTGGACCCTGGCTAGGATGAACAAAAGCCACGGGGACTTGGAAGGGCCCCTCACAGGCCCAACGGGTAAGTGAATGACCTGGGACACTGTTGAGCAAGTGTTGTTGTTGTTGTTTAGTCATTTAGTCATGTCCAACTCTTGAAATTATATGTTAATTTAATCTATTACTTAGCTATTGTTGTTTAGTCGTTTAGTAGTGTCCGACTCTTCGTGACCCCATGGACCAGAGCACGCCAGGCACTCCTGTCTTCCACTGCCTCCCACAGTTTGGTCAAACTCATGCTGGTAGCTTTGAGAACACTGTCCAACCATCTCCTCCTCTGTCATCCCTTCTCCTTGTGCCCTCCATCTTTCCCAACATCAGGGTCTTTTCCAGGGAGTCTTCTCTTCTCATGAGGTGGCCAAAGTACTGGAGCCTCAGCTTCAGGATCTGTCCTTCCAGTGAGCACTCAGGGCTGATTTCCTTAAGAATGGAGAGGTTTGATCTTCTTGCAGTCCATGGGACTCTCAAGAGTCTCCTCCAGCACCATAATTCAAAAGCTGAGCAAGTGGGTCCATTCAAAGAGCAAGGTGGCACTGAGAATGGTGTTTCTGCTTGCCTTTGGAAGAGCTGGGCATGGGCAAAGGGCTGCAGCATCTGCACTGCTTGCAAAAGGTCCCAGGTTCAGGCCCTCGCATTTCCAGGTTTGGTTGGGAAAGACTTGGAGAGCAGCTGCCAGTCAGTGCGCGCACTACTGGGCTTCATGGAGCGATGGTCTGACTCAGTATCAAGCAGCTTCCTGTGTTCCTATGTTCCATCTTTCTTGTCCTCGCATACCTGCAACCAACACTCGTTTAAGTCTTGCCTTGCCTTTTCCCCTTCTTTAGGATGCACAACTCGCTGGTTTGATCGGGATAATCCGTCTGGAAAGGGAGACTATGAACTCCTTTCCAATCTGCGGAGCGAATATCCTGGTGGGATTTGTGACGAGCCCCTTGCCATCAACGTACAGACTGTGGATGGGAGACCTGCAGTGAAGACGGGGCAAAGATTTTCAGTGTGAGAAGACACTTTTGTTGATGGCTGTGATTTATTTTAAAGATGCCAGATCAGACCATGCACTTGTGCTCTTGCTCAGAGATGTGTTTTTCTAAAATCCTTGTGATACATAATTTCTTCTCTTTCCAAAGGTGGGCATGGATTCCAGAGCTGAGAAGGGATCCTATAGCCCCCGGAGCCTTGAATAAATTCTAACACTTACTGGTTCCAGGACTTGAGAAATGTCTAGCACATAACTCATAACAATACTCAACTAAGATGGGCACAATTATATCTGTAACTGTCATTCCATACAGCACAACTTTTTATCCCTCTCTTATGCAGGTATGACACTACTAGAGGCTTTGCCTGTGTCAACACTGAGCAAGTACCTGGTCAGTCCTGCCTAGATTATGTGGTCCAATTCACTTGCCCAGAATCCTTCTGTTCCGGTGAGTGCTGCTATCATAGCGGTCAACTCTTCCCTTTTCTTGCGAGGAATCCTATTCGGAATAAGCGAATTTCCCTTTAAAAAAGGGAAATGTTGACAGCTATGGCTGCTATGTATTGATGGGATGTTCTCAGTGGGGATGGGGGTTCTTGCCTAGAGGTGGAGGAGCTATTTTGTGGTTCACCTCAGGTGCCAATCTATCATAAAGACACCATAGTCTCACAAAACCAGCCCCACTAAGGCCCATTTTTCTCCCCACGAGAAAAGGCCCACCCATTTCCTTCTATGGCAACAGAACAACTTCTTTGGATATGCTAAATCATGGTACAGTGGTACCTCTGATTATGAACTTAATTTGTTCCGGAGGTTCATTCTTAACCTCAAACCGTTCTTAACCTGAGGTACCACTTTAGCTAATGGGGCCTCCCACTGCCGCTGTGCTGCCAGCATGCAATTTCCATTCTCATCCTGAGGTAAAGTTCTTAACCTGAGGTACTACTTCCGGGTTAGCGGAGTCTGTAACCTGCAGTGTTTGTAAACTGAGGTGTTTGTAACCCGAGGTACCGCTGTACTTAACTAGCCAGCCAGAGCCATTACCTTGACAAAGGAACTGGCTTGGCAGGCTTCTTCTTATACATTCTTCCCTGGCAGGTTTGGAAGGGACCCAGGGTTTCATCCTGTCTGACCCTCTGCTCACCAAACACATAACGGTATAATGCCCAATAAACACCCAGCTCATAGCTGTACATCTTGAATAAATTGGAAAGATGGTAGAATGGAGTGCAGGCCATTCCAGAGCACCTCAGAAAGACGGGGGTGGTGGCACAATATCAGCTTGCAGTGTACCTACATAAATGGTTTCTCATCCAAGAACTAACCAGACCTGGTCCTATTTGGCTTCACCATTTTGTGCCTTCACACCAAACCCTGGAACCACACTTACATTGTCACATTACACATTATGTGAATCCAAAGACCTTTTTATTGTTGTTCCTTATTTCCACTCAAAAAACTCCCTTTTCTCCAAAAGTGTATCCGGAGTAAAGCGTCATGAATAGTTTCTCTCCGTTTCACCTCAGCTTCAACTTGCACGACTCGTTGGTTTGACCGGGACGACCCTTCAGGAGTGGGTGACTTTGAAACTCTTGCTGACCTGAGGAGGGAATATCCCACGGACATTTGCCCTGAACCCATTGGAATTGAAGCTCAGACCGTGGAGGGAACCCCAGCGTCCAGCACTGGGCAAATCTTTCATCCGTGAGTGGTGCCAGGGCAGCATTAGGGAATTAATTATTACTGAGCAGCATTCCAATGTTTCCATTATGTGTCAGTTGGGCTGACTAGGAATGTGGGAGGAATCTGTTGGAAGCAGATTATCCAGTGGATTTTCTTCCATCTGCCCATAGACTCTTGCTTTGAATGCTGTGTGCTAGGGGTCACCAAGCTTTTTGGACCTGGTGGCACATTTGAGAGAGTGTTGAGGATACCATGGGTGGATGGCATAAGACAACATGGCTGTCATGGGGAGCATGCCATAGAGAGATACAGTCATTGTGGATTTGCCACCGTCGCTCATGGGTGATGTCACACTTACCATGAAAAGTCATCTATGTCTTGCTGGTCCTGATTTCGGAAATCAGGACCCTTTGCCAAAATGGGAAGAACCATCTGGACTTGCACCCATCTCCTATACCAGTGGTTCTCAACCTGTGGGTCCCCAAATGTTGTTGGACTACAACTCCCATCATCCCTGAGCTCTGGCCTTGCTAGCTAGGGGTGATGGGAGTTGTAGTTCAACATCTGGGAACCCACAGGTTGAGAAAGGCTGCCCTATACTTTCATCTTAAAATTTTACCTCACTCCCTTCCCAACCCCATTGTGGTTTATTTATGGTGCTGGAAATCTGTACGGATCAAACTGCGGTTCTCGGGATACTTTGGGGGTAGGTGTGCAGCCATAGATTAGCTTGAGCATTGTGTTTAAACACAAGAACACTTTCTGAATAGAACACACATTTATGAAATAACGTGTTGCAATCAGAAAGGACTTGTTTTTGCACAGCTGGTTCTTCCTGCCTAAGTGCAGAACCTTACATTTGTCCCTATTGAAATTTATTTTGTTAGCTTGGGCCCAGTTCTCCAGTCTGTTAAGGTCATCTTGAATCCCGATTCTGTCTTCTGTGGCACTAGCTACCCCTCCCAGTTTGGTATCATCTGAAGATTGGATGAGCATCCTCTCAATGCCTTCCATCCAAGTCATTCATAACGGCATTGAACAACAATGGGGCCAGGACAGAACCCTGCAGCACTCCACTTGTCACTTTTTTCCAGGATGATGAAGAACCATTAATGAGCACTCTTTGGGTTCAATCAGTCAACCAGCTACAAATCCACTTCACGGTTACCTCTCCAGCCCACATCTTGCCATAGCTTCTCTGCAAGAATATCATGGGGGACTTTGTGAAAAGCTTTAATGAAATCAAGAGTAGATATGGTTAGAATTACAACCATATATGGCTTTGTGCAGGCATGTCCAAAGTCCATTTGGGGGGCCTAATCCAGCCATAGCTGTCAACCGTCCCTTATTTGGAGGGAAAGTCCCTTATCCCAGCGCTGTGTCCCGCTGCTGTCCCTTATTGATGATGTCCCTTAAATTTCCTGGTTTTCAAAGGAAGCAGCTCCTCTCCCTCCCTCCCTGCCAGCCAGGAAGGATGGAGGCTCCAACTGTGTTGCTTGGCTGCGTTGCTCACCAAATAAGGAGTCTAAGAACGACTGGGGGGTGGAGCTTGCATGCCTTGTGCCAATCAAATCGGTCACATTGCCTGGGAACTCGCCTTTTCTCAGCGCTTCCCAGTGGAGAGGTGACGGTGGTTTACCTTGCTGCATCCCCTTTGCCAGGTTGCTGTGCTGTGGGAACCACTGCTTGAGGCTTCATTTGGCTGCTGGCTGGGCTTTCGGCCATTGGCTCAGAGGGGCTCAGAAGTTGAACATACCTGTGCTTGGAAAAATCCCTTATTTTGGCTGCTGATCCCTTATTTTTGAGGCTGCTGGTCCCTTATTTTCAAATCTGTAAGTTGACAGCTATGAATCCAGCCCACCAGTCGGTCTAATCCAGCCCCTGTGGCAGTTTATTTCCTGGGGTAAAATCCTAAAGCTCAACAACTTTGGGGTAAAATCATTAAAAAGCTCAACAACTTCAATCCTGAAAAAAGATTAACAACTTTGGTTGGCCCTCACAGCCCTTCACTTCATCAAATCTGGCCCCCTTTGAAAAAAGTTTGGACACCACTGGCTTTGTGATAAGTCACTGGATTGACTTTGTCTTTAAGGTGCCAAAGGACGCCTTACTGTACAAGTTTAACAGAGCTACTCTCCTGAAATTCATTAACTTTGAAAACAAGCATGTAAAGAAAGCAACCGATTTGTAAATATTTGTTGATGGCTAAGTAGACATACATTTTCACATCAGCAGACTACAAAATAGAAGGCACTTTATCAAAGTAAAGCAAGTGCAGTGGAATGGAAAACACCAGGGGAATGTATGACTGAATATCAGAATGGATTAAGACACCCAGCAGATCCCTAGCTGTTACTCATACAGATATCGATGACTCCTACCCAAATTAGCACGTGCAAAATTCCATTGCATGCGTGATTCAGTGAAAGCATTGCTGCAAAACGTAGTTGTGAAGCAATAACAACGGGTGTGATTTCAAATTGCTCTGATTGTTTTACATGAAAGAATACATACATGTGGCAATCAGTTCTATTGTTGCATCTCTTCTTCCCTAGTAACACAGGGAGAGTAAAGAAGCGCTGTCTGAATGAATGAAAGAACTCCTGGCTTGATGCTGTCAAGGCCGAAGAAGACATGGATGTTATTACAGTAGTGTGCTTGTTAACATTACATAGCTTGTTATGTGAATGGGGAGGCATGATCAGCCTTGGGAGGGGAGGGGAAGTTTAACTCTTTCTCTCCTTGCCATGGACCCAAGAAAAATAGATTCTTCAAAGCTGCTGTTTGTATTTCAAAGGAAGGTTCTGCTGGATCCCATTTTAGTGCTGATTATCTCTCTCCAACTTCCCTCTTTCCTGGTCACAGTTTGGTGAGTCAGATTGCTTCTTTCGTTCTCTTTCTCTCCCCACTAGGTTTAACCCTAAAGAAGGATTTGCTTGTGTTAATAAAGAGCAGTACAAGCGTTCCTGTTTGGATTACAAAGTCCGCTTCACCTGTCCCTCAAACTTCTGCTCAGGTGAGTCAACCAGGACATCTTGTGGTGAGATGGGGGAATGATCTCCAACCACATCATAATAAGCCATGCCTGTATAACACCAAAACAATTGCTCATAAATTAAAAGCAGGAGTCTTTATTTATGAGGTGTTGCTGACATGGAACCCACAGTGTGCTGCTCCTTTGTTAAACATACCCCCTTAAACATGCCCACATCTCACTGGATGACAGTGGTTATATTAAAAAAAGAAGGCTGCGTTCACACAATAATTTATTCCATTTTCCGTAATTGTTTATTTGCATGTCATATTTCACATGACATAATTTAGTGCCTAAATGTCTTGGGCCATCCATCTGCTCCACATTTTACTAAGGGCAAAAGAGCAGGTGTTCCTCTTCCCTGCAACCCACTTCTGCAAGATAGCATCCTGCACTGCATGGAGGGTAGTGGTAGCAGCAGGCTAGATTAGGAGACCGAGGACAGGCACTGTGGGTGCTACATCTATCCTTCAACAGATAACAATGCCTGGGGGTGCACTACTGGGCTTCATGGAGCGATGGTCTGACTCAGCATCGGGCAGCTTCCTGTGTTCCTATGTTCCAACTTTCTTGTCCTCCCATACCTGCAACCAACACTCATTTGAGTCTTGCCTTGCCTTTTCACGCTTTAGGATGCATGACCCAGTGGTTTGATCGGGATGGTCCATCGGGAAGGGGAGACTATGAACTCCTTTCCAATCTGCGGAGCGAATACCCTGGCAAGATTTGTGCTGAGCCCCTTGCAATCAACGTACAGACTCTGGATGGGATTCCTGCCCTGAAGACAGGGCAAAAGTTTTCAGTGTGAGAAGACACTTTTGTGATGGTTGTGAACTTTTTTTTTACAGGTGCCAGATAGGGTTTCATGTATTGCACTCTAGCTAAGAAATGGGGAACCTCTATCTAGACCGGGCATCCCCAAGCTCGGCCCTCCAGATGTTTTGGGACTACAACTCCCATCATCCCTAGCTAACAGGAGCAGTGGTCAGGGATGATGGGAGTTGTAGTCCCGAAACATCTGGAGGGCTGAGTTTGGGGGTGCCTGATCTAGACTGTCAAATGTGACCCTCCAGGCCTCTCAATCTAGCCCTTGGAACTCTCTCCAGCCACATCCTTCACCATTCCTGCTTCACACCCTCTTTGAGTGCTTTTGTCCAGTTTTCCTGGCTCCTTGAGCTGCAATGACGCCTCTTATTTAACTGGGTGGAAAGAGGTGTCCCTTGCCACAAGTGTCCATTCAGCATTGCATTTACACTCGCCTTCTCTTATTTCTTTAGATGGTTTGTAACTGTTTCCTACCACTTTTTACATTGTGTTTTGCATATCACGTTGGGGCATACATGGAAGGTGATTAGTGAACAGCAACAATTAAAGAAATGTGTTTGTGCAGAGGAGACACTGGCTTCTGCAACGTTGGCAAGAGTCTTGTCTATTGTGCTACTCATTTCGCCTCTCGCTCCACCAGCCAGTGGCTTGTGGCTCACACCCTCCTTGCATATTTCTGCTGGCTGGGATGTATCTTTGCACTCTAATAATGCCTCTCGCTTGTCTGGGTGGAGATGCAGCGGGTGAAAAAACAAAGGGAAATTTTACTTCAGTTGCTGTGTTCAGTTGTTCTTCTGGCCCCCACCTACCAATAGCAAATGACTCCTGGGATTTTGCTCATAAGGGAATGTGTTTATTTTTATTTGCTTTACTGATTAAATCGTGTGTTTTTTGTGTGTGATTTAAATGTTGGATGTATGGTTTCTTCGTTTTCCAAAGTGCAGAGATGAGTGTGGCTCCTATTATATAGCCAAAACTAAATTAAACATGGATGGCTCAGTTGGTTAGACTGTGGTGTTGATAATGCCAAGGTTGCAGGTTCAAGCCCCGTATGGGACAACTGCATATTCCTGCCTTGCAGAGGGTTGGACTAGATGATCTTCGGGGTCCCTTCTGACTCTACAGTTCTATGATTTCTAAATTAAACTAGGGCCAGAGTCTTTTCAGTATGGGCCCGACTTGGTGGAACGCGCTGTCACAAGAGACTAGGGCCCTGCGGGACTTGACATCTTTCCGCAGGGCCTGCAAGATGGAGCTGTTCCACTTGGCCTTTGGTTTGGACTCAGTTTGACCCTTATGTTTCCCTCCCCTTATGGTTTTGATTTATGGGTTGCTATTAAAATGAGGCTGCATTTTAAATTGTATTTTAACCCATATTTTAACCTGTATTTTAATTAACTGTTTTTCCCCCTTCCTATTACATTTTATTGTAATTTTATTGGTGTTAGCAGCCCTGAGCCTGGTTCTGGCCGGGGAGGGTGGGTAAATAAAGAAAATATATTATTATTATTATTATTATTATTATTATTATTATTATTAAATTAAGATGTGGAAAATAACACCTGTGACATGCTAGTTCATACAGAGTGCTCCCCCCTCCACCTGCTGTTATTCAGGTATGACCCTACTCAAGGCTTTGCCTGTGTCAATGATGAGCAAAAACCTGGTCGGTCCTGCCATGATTACAGGGTCCAGTTCACATGCCCAGGATCCTTCTGTTCTGGTGAGTGCCACTATGAGTTGATAGGATATTCTCTACTACTGGGAGGGAATGGGCAGTGGGGATGGCAAACCTCCTTAATGATTGTTTTGCCAAATAATAGTAATAATTTATTATTTATATCCCGCCCATCTGCCTGGGTTTCCCCAGCCACTCTGGGTGGCTTCCAACAAAGTATTAAAATACAGTGGTCTGTTAAACATTAAAAGCTTCCCTAAACAGGGCTGCCTTCAGATGTCTTCTAAAAGTTTGGTAGTTGTTGTTCTCTTTGACATCTGGTGGGAGGGCGTTCCACAGGGCGGGTGCCACTACCAAGAAGGCCCTGTGCCTGGTTCCCTGTAACTTGGCTTCTTGCAGTGAGGGAACCACCAGAAGGCCCTTGACGCTGGACCTCAGTGTCCAGACAGAACGATGGGGGTGGAGACACTCCTTCAGGTATACTGGACCGAGGCTGTTTAGGGCTTTAAAGGTCAGCACCAACACTTTGAATTGTGCTTGGAAACGTACTGGGAACCAATACAGATCTTTCAAGACCGGTGTTATGTGGTCTCGGCAGCCGCTCCCAGTCACCAGTAGGAGATGGTTCTTTTAAAATTAGATTCAGAAACAATACAGACGCAAGTGGGTGAGAAGGTTACAGATTTTATTCCAAACAGCAAGCAAAATGTACGTTACCAGGCAGCACTTTGATCTGCTACTGAGAAGCCCTGAAGAAGTGGCAAAGTGACCCCCAGGTAGCTTTCGATGCACAGCACTGTGGCCAGCAGCCTGTGGTGAACTTCTGAGTGGCATGCCTCAAAACTAGATATTTTATAGATACTGTGTCCTGTTAAGGGCCAATACAGGCTCAACTACAAGCTCAAAGACAAAAAGGCAGGCCATACATCAAAGGCTTTTACTGACCAGTGCCAACAGCCCACACATCAAAGACCTTTTTACAAAGGATAGAGGAAGTAATAAAACATAAGCAGAGACAGGAAGAGATAACCAGAGACAGGAAGAGTTGGCCATGTCAGATCACTTATGTCCTCGAAAGTACAATAATCTTCCGCATTATCCGTATAATGATATATCTATAAGTAAGTGATTAGTTTCAGCTTCCTGTTCCGGTGGGCTTTCTTTTGTAGTAAATACCGTATTTTTTTCTCTATAAGGCTCACTTTTTCCCTTCTAAAAAGTAAGGGGAAATGTGTGTGCGTCTTATGGAGCGAATGCAGGCTACGTAGCTATCCCAGAAGCCAGAACAGGAAGATGGGTCGCTGCTTTCACTGCGCAGCGATCCCTCTTGCTGTTCTGGCTTCTGGGATTCAGAATATTTTTTTTCTTGTTTTCCTCCTCCAAAATCTAGGTGCGTCTTGTGGTCTGGTGCGTCTTATAGAGCGAAAAATACGGTACTTGATTTTTCTGAACATACAAATAACAAACATCAACATAAAATAGAACCACAAAACATCTGCTGTAGCAGTGTTCATTGTGAACATCTTGGAATAGTTTATACATTACATTGGGGGGTTTAATCTTGCTATTTTACCATTGTAAATAAATAAATAAATAAATAAATAAAATTCTGCCAACTTTTGAGTGTTTTAGTTACCATAGGAATAGGCAACAGCCAGAAAAGGTGAGTTAAAATGGGGTACGCTATTCATTTCCATGGAAGTGGGTTTTTTTCCAAGCCAGGATGGATTTATTTCGCTCCATATTAGCAAAGATTTTAAATTATTATTTTTCATAAATGGTCTGTAATTACGTTTTTCTACCACACCCAAATATTTCATGGCTTGGCCATGGCTTGGTATACCTGTGTTGTCTATTTTGTTTATTTTTGTGATCTAAATTAAAGCACAGCATTTCTTATTTCTTTAGGCTAATCTGAAGGCCGGACCTTCTGCATCATTCTTGCCATGAGAGGCATTGCCTGCTTTTCTTAATTGTTAATTCAATAAAATCAGTGTGTCGCCAGCAAACATTCCTATGCAGCATTGTGTGTGATTAATTTGGACTCCTGTTGTTTTAGGGTTATTTCTAATTACTTCAGCCAGTGGTTGCAAACAAAAAGTACACTCCCCCCCCCCGGGCATGAAAAAAAAATTGTGATCCTCAGGCTAGAAAAATTTCCCTCCTCTAGTCTGGGCTACTCCAGCCTCAATTCTCTCTGCCCTACAACATTTTACAGCCTCTTTAACTTCAGTGCTTCTTGTTTCTTTCCTCAACGCTCCCTCACAATACTTTATAAACAGGCCATTAAGCAAATGCCAACAAGTTCCACCTGAATCTCCTTCTCCTTCTTCTTTTTTAAAAGATCTCCAAAAGGTGTGTTATAGGCATTCTAATTCATGGTTGCACAAGGTTGCATTTAACTTTCCGAAATGCAGAACTGGAGAAAGTCAATTTGCACTTCCCAGTTGAGTCTTTGCTGAGTCAAGTATTTCCTTCTGTGATGGGGAAGTGATCTGCAAAGCTTCACATTCTTGGGAGTCATGTGCAATTGCTACCGCTGTCTCATATTCTAGGTGTGCCCCCTGGCTATTTACTGGGTGAAGAAGAAGAAGAAGAGTTTGGATTTGATATCCCGCTTTATCACAACCCTAAGGAGTCTCAAAGCGGCTAACAATCTTCTTTCCCTTCCTCCCTGACAACAAACACTCTGTGAGGTGAGTGAGGCTGAGAGACTTCAGAGAAGTGTGACTAGCCCAAGGTCACCCAGCAGCTGCATGTGGAGGAAACTGGGGAAGGGTCCCAGTTCAGTGGGCCAAGCAGATGCTTCATGTACAAAAGCTTCAGTTCCAGGCACCTGTCTGAAATGCTGGGCAGCTGCTGCCAGCCAGTATGGACCACAGATTAGGAACCCCTTTCAGCCACCTGAGGACAAAGGCCAGTGATGGGCAGGGACAGAGATAAAACTGGGTGGAGCAGTGGGTATGATTCTTACCTTTTACAGTAGCTACATTCCAGCCTCACAAAAACCAAAAGTTTATACATGCACACACGTCTCCATCCACCATCCGGGCAAGCATGGGGCATTATCACAGTTCAAAGACACATTTCACCCAAGCAAAAGCACTTAAGGAGGGGAGGGGGCGTGAGGGGTGTGCCCACTGGGAGGGGGCCTTTCCCAGGCAGAGACCCATGGGATGGAGAGAAAGGCCTGGACAGCCACATTTGAGTCCATGCACCTGAGAAACTAATGCGCTCCACCACAAGAAACAGCTTCAAAGCTTTACTGCAAACAGTCTTTAAAACAGTTACAATTAAATCTTACAAGATACAAAGGAACACATTGTTGTTAAACAAGCAAGCACTGTGGTCCAGTCTTTTTTTTAGGCCCTAATACTGTATCCACAGCAGTGGCCAGAGGAGAAATGACTGCTGGGAGGAGCACAGACAGAAGAAACACAATCATACAACTGTAGCAGCAAAACCAGACACCTGTATCTGCTCGAGCTGCAATAAAACTAGTCTCTCCCATATAGGTCTGTACAGCCACAGCAGGCGCTGTAACTCTCCAGCAGTTTGAGATTAACCCCAAAGGTGCATTCTTCCATTGTCTCCGGAGACAGACAGATGTCAACAACAGTTCAATACAAATTTCTTTTCTCTACTCCCAGAGAGAGATCCTAAGCAACTTGCTTGTATCATCATTGTAGAGCTTAGCTTCTATTGCTGTTGCTGCTGGCTCCGCCAGTGACTAAAGACACTGGGCTTATCGGGTTTCATCTCCTGCTGTTAAAGATCTCTCGGTTTTCCAAAAACGACTCATCACTTAGCCTAATGACTGAAAGGGAAACATCTGGCCTTTTCTGCTGCATTGGCCAGAGTGAAACCTCCTGTGCCTAATGCAAGCCTCCCGTTGCAAATGCAAACCTTACAGCATAGCATTTCAAATACAATGCACTCAAACATAACATTTAATGTGATATCTTTAACACCTCAGTGCTTTTGCATGGAGAAGGTTCCAGAAGCAAGGTGGACCAATGGCCTGATTCTGTACAATGAAGCCCTCCAGGACCCCTGCCAGATACACCCTTCTCTGGCCCTGCTCCACACTCTCCTTGATTGCTTTTTACCTGGCTTGAATGTGTCACTGAACTGTGATAACACTTCTTGCTTGCCTGGATGAAGGACGGACAGACTGTGAGCATGTTGCTCTGACTTTTGATGACTAAGTGTGTAAGAGTCACATCCTTCGTGTTGCACAATTTTGTCTCCAGCTCCACCCACCAACATGGGCACATGACCCCCTGGAAGATTGCCCAGGAATGAATGCAGCCCTCAGGCTGGGGGGCAAGCCCAGCCTTGCTCCAGTGTCCCCCCACCCACCCACAAATTTTGTTAGCTCGTAATGAATGAACTGAGTCTCCTTGTGTCTCTACATGTGCAGTTTCCATCATGTCAGAGGATTTGCTTTTGCACCAATGAGCAACAGGAGGGTGTCAACAAATCCTGCCAAGACTACAAGGTTCAGTTCACCTGTCCAAAGACCTTTCGTTGATGTGCGATACATTGATGGGAATGGAGAGACACTTTGTCTGCAGGGAAAGTCTCCTGCCTGTAACCATTAGGTACCACTGCTTGCCAGTGTACACAACGCTGAGCTACATGGAGCAATAATATGACTCTTATCAGATATTAGGTACCTTCAGGCCCCAGGCCTTTGCTCAGCGTTCAAACCAAAACAAGGGTGAGCATACAAAACTGACTTATACTGAGTCAGACCATTGGTCTATCTTGTTCAGTATTGTCTACACTGACTGGCAGAGGCTCTCCAGGGTTTCAAGTGGCGGGTATTCCCAGTCCTACCTGGAGATGCTAGGAATTGAACCTTGGATCTTCTGAATGCAACACAGATGAGTTGTGGCCTTGCTTAGCTACACTGGGTTGTGACCAACTACATTCTACTCAGACTGAACCCATTGAAATTAATGGTCCTATGGTAGTAATGGCTGTTAATTAAATGGGTCTACTCTGAGCAGGGTTAGTTTTCAAGCCATTATTTTCAATGCCACACTTTTCTTTTATTTTAAAAAATTCTTTATTTTCTTAATAATAATTCTTAAGAACATGCAGTTCAGCTGATGACTACTCCTGAAAAGAGCTGTGCAGAACAGAAATGCTGGATGCGCTCATAAGAGAGACTTATCTCGCCACCTGAAGTTCCCCTTGATTACTGATATAAAATGTCAACAAAGCATAATGATAACAAAACAGACATGCATGAAGTGTAAAATATTGACTAGGCAAATCAAGCGAACAAATAGAAAATAAAATAAACAGTGGGGGATATGAGTAACTGCAGCTCATCTATAAACTCGTAAACAGAAGGAGGTTAAGAAGATGTATCAGAACACTCCTAGAGGTACAGAAAAAAGTGTTTTCTCCTGCATGTTAGATTTCCCATTTACTCTGCATCCACTCTGCTTCCACCACTGGTTTAGAAACTGGTGTTACATGCACAGTTTATATCTACGATCCATATTCTAGCCTGTATCTATCATATTCTTTCTTGGAAATGCTGCATTTTGATGCATTTTCCCCAAAGCAGCTCCCGTGCGAATAGAGAAAAAGAACAACAAAGCTACATTTTACGCCCCTGATATAAACGGAACCAAGTGGGTTTGTTTGAAGTTTAGGTACAAGTCAGCTTGCAGAAGAGAGGTTGCATGGTGTTAAGACAGAACAAGGAACCTCTAGACTCCATGGGTAGGCAAACTAAGGCCTGGGGGCTGGATCTGGCCCAATCGCCTTCTAAATCCAGCCCGCAGATGGTCCGGGAATCAGCATGTTTTTACATGAGTAGAATATGTCCTTTTATTTAAAATGCATCTCTGGGTTATTTGTGGTGCCTGCCTGGTGTTTTTATGTGTGTAGAATGTGTCCTTTTATTTAAAATGCATCTCTGGGTTATTTGTGGGGCATAGGAATTCATTCATTTATTTTTTTTCAAAATTTAGTCTGGCCCCCCACAAGGTCTGAGGGACAGTGGACCGGCCCCCTGCTGAAAAAGTTTGCTGACCCCTGGTCCAGAGTCCTTACTGTCCTTGAACCTTTATCTCTATGCTGACTTATCTCTCCCTCTCTCTCTCTTTGTTGACTTTACTGATATATCTTAGGTTGCATCCTGTTTACAACTTCCTCCTCCTCACACTTACTTCTCTCTATCGGACCTCAAGAGGAGAAGTTCACGTTGGAGTTATCCTCTGAGAACAATGGAGCAAAGAAGGCTGCCTTTTGTCTTCTCCAGATGAGCTAGTTAGGTTAGAGACCTATAAAAAAAATTCTACCTGAGTTACTTCCTTACTATAAATTACTTCGTTATTTTTCTTAGTCTACAATCATCTCCGTGTGTGAAACAGGTGGAGTCTGCTCTCCAACCAGATTCACTAGCCAAACGCCCCAAGCTTTGCATATAGAATCGCAGAATGGTAGAAATGGAAGGGACCCCAGGGTCATCTAGTCCAGCCCCCTGCAATGCAGGAACATGCAAATAGACCCTGCGGCCTTCAAAGAGCTATATCAAGTAAATGGAGTCAAACTTCTAACAGGATTGCCACGGGGGGAATAAACAGGCGCCTCAGCAAGCAAGCTCTGTTGTACGGAGGTGCCACGATTGTTGTCACGATCAATATCACCATTCTAAAACGGATTCAGGACCAACAATGTTTCTTTTCTTTTTCTTAAAAAAAAAATTAAACAATTTCAACATAACAAATTATCAGTCCAAATAATCAATTACATTGTTTCCACACACACCCCGCCATCCCTCCCATTCCCCTCAGCTCCCCTCTCTGATTCCTTTGCACATATTGTTCTCTGCACGTTATAAAATTGCACATATATTTGCCTTATCTATCAAATGCTCAACTAATAAATTTGTGGATGTTTATCAAAACCTGCCAAGGAGTTCCGATCATTTTGTTGTCTTTTTAAGTAATTTGTAAAAAAGTTCCCATTCTTCCTTGAAGTCGCGATTGCAGGACCGACAATTTTTCTAATGACAGAAGCAAGCGTCTCACTCTGCGTCCAGGGTCACTGCGGGCTGGGACGGAGCAATGGCGGCAGAAGTTCTCTG